ATTTGCTTCTGTCAGCATCCCAGGATTTTACTAATCTAGGACTACTTTAAAGAAGTTTCTCAGTTTGAAGTTTTCTAAACCATTAAGATAGGATAAATTCACTAATTCACAAATAAATTCACAATTCCTAATTGTGATTAGGAATTCTCAGAGTAGGACCAAAACCACCTAAAACTGAGGCCAAGAGAGATAAGAGGTCTCCTTAACAAGTGGGTAGAGTTTCCCTTAGCCCATTCTTTCATTTAGTCTCAGGATACACAGTCCCTTGCATATTACAGTGTTGTATCTTAGTTATAAATTCTCATTTTATATGGGCCTATGACCTTGTCATTGGAAACCCTTGGAGTGTTAAAACTCCCAGTTCTGGTATCTGGTATAGACATGTATTTTCAAGAAAGCCCCAGCAAAAATTTCATGTTTACCACACTGATTTTCAGTATCTTCTTTGATTATAATCCCTAAGGAATTTTCTTGACTTCTTGCAAGATTTGCCTATTTATTTGAATATTGTATTTTGTTCAGCATTTCTATGTCATTTATAACAGAGAGTTTTTAAGAAAATATCTAGTCTACCACATTGCCAGAAGCAGAATTCAACTCTAAATCTTGGTGACGCATTGGATTTGGAGGATGAGGAATCATCAGAGATTATGGACCTTGGTGATCAGAAGAGTGATGTTATCACTGACCGATATATAAAGTGAAAAAAGAATAGTTAAACAGACAGAAAGAGCACATATAGAATTTATGTATGGTAAGGAAATAAGGACATGAATGTAACCTGATGGCTGTTAACTTGAAACCTGATGGCCAAAGTTTCTGGAGTGAAGCAGAGAAGCACAGCATGATATGTAGACCTTGCTGCCATACTCCACCTCCTCATCCACATTTCAGAAAATTATTCTTATAATTTAGAAAATATCTGAGAAATCTAATCTAATAATCTAATAATTTCAAGCCTGGAGGATGCAAACTAAATGGGTATCTTTGTCTTTTCCTTCTTCTGACTGAGGAATAATGGAAATGGCTGCTGGGAGAAAATGTGTGTAAAGAGGAAACTTGACCACAGGGCTGACTCTTACCTATGGAAATAAATGCTCTAGGGATAAATACTGAATTGAGGAAATGATGTGAAGGCTAAGGAAATTGGCTTACAACTCCTCAAGTTAGTGGAGAAAACTCTGGTATGGGACATGAAACAAAATATCAGAAGAGAGAATTGAGCCCAAATATTCTTTTAAAAAAAGACTGCATACTGCCTCAGCTGAGCTCTCTTTTTGTACACAAACACACATACACCCTTTTCCTCCAACTTTCACTGGCTCCAGAAAAGTAGATAGAATATTGAATACTCACCACTTAGATTGGATTAGAGAAGGTAAACTGATCTTGGATAAGATGCAAAAAGAGTCAAGGATTAAGTTTTATTAAAGCAAATAGAATATCATGTAGCAAAAATATGAATAAGATGAAAGAAAGATCATGGCAATCAAGCTAATACACTGCATGAAAAAAGAAAAAAAAGCAATGTGCTATGCAAGTACCCAAGCCAAAAGGAAAAAACCTGTCTTGAGAAACAGAAAGAAATTGTGAATTGCTTTAAGTTCCAGAACAGATTAAGAACATGAAATCAGTAAAACAAGAGCTCGGAGATGAAGTGATAACAGAATGAAATGAAGAGATTGCAGACCTAAGGAAAGAAATAGGCTCAACACACCATCATTGCAGGAAAATAAATTCAGAAACATCAAGAAAGAATTCAAAGCACTGAAAATTGAATTACTACAAGAAAGTAAAACTTGAGATAATTAAAATGAATACAGATGAAAAAGTCAGAAATTGAAGCAATTAGAGGGGAACTAATAGAAAAGAGAGAGACAAAGATGGTCTAACACAAGAATAAACAGCATCACTGAAGTAAAGAAGTCAATAAATGTAATAAAACTCAAAAACCAAACTCATTGCTGGTGAGTGTTTCCGACTTATAGTGACCCTTCCTTGGGTTTCCAAGACAGTATCTCTATGGAAGTAGATTGCCCAATCTTCCTTCCAAAGAGTGGCTGGTGGGTTTGAACTGTCAGCCTCTGGTTAGCAGTCAAATGCGTTAGGCACTAGATGTTTTCAAAGCTATGAAACAAGAAAAATTGCATTAAACAGAAGAAAGAACCAAATCTGCATATGGAAAAAGTAAACTGTGCCTCAGAAAATTTTAAAACAATTGTCAACACACCGTTAATATTCTAGTTATCTACCGGACTTCAGGGTAAAGAAAAAATTTTTCAGTAATCTAAAGAGGGAAAAATTCATCCTTCAGCAATAACTGTTAACATTCTGAAAAATAGATCCTTTCAGGTGGACAATTATGGAAGACATTCTGTACACTTCCCAGAGGTCTTCATTCTGTGGAATCACACACCCTATATTGGCTTTTCCTTCTACTTTGCCTTATTCTTCTTTCTTCTTCGCTCCTGCTGCCTAGATCACCTCCTAAATTAACAATCTGCACCCAAGTCTTTTCTCAGGCTCTACTTTTGGGGAAACCAAAAAGGAACACAACCAATTTCTTGCCGATGAGCAAAGGTGGTTCCTCCAAGTTTTTGCTATTACAAAAGTGCTACTAAGAATAAAAAACAAAAAACCCAAACACATTGCCATCAAGTCAGTTCTGACTCATATCAACCCCTATTTGGTTTTCAAGGCAGTAAATCTTTATGGAAGTAGATTACCTCATCTTCCTTCTGTGGAGTGGCTGGTGGCTTTGAACCACCAACCTTCTGGTTAGCAGACAGATGCCTTGGGCACTGCACCATCACTACTAAGAATCTTTGTGTACAAACCACTCATGCACAAGTGCAAGAATCTCTCTTGGTTATTTATGTAGGAGTAAAATTCCTGGGTCCAAGGGTATGTGAATATTCAACTTTAAAAAATTATTCCAAACTGTTTACCACAGTGGTTTAACCAGTTTACTATTCTAATAGTATTGTATAAGAGTTCTTATTGATCCACATCCTCTCCAATATTTGCTGTTGCGCCTCAAATAGGTATCAAATGGAATCTCACTGTGGTCTTGATTTGTACTTCTTTGATAATGAAGTTAAACATATCTTCATATACTTACTAACAATAAATTTTTCATCTGTGAAATGTAAAAAAAAAAAAAAAATTATATCCAGCTAAGATACCATTCACATACAAAAAAACCTTTAAGCAAACTTCTGAAATATGAAAGAATAAACACTACAAGCCCTTTTTGAAAACTTTACTTGACAGATCCAGCAAATTAAGAGATAATATGAAATACTGTTTTTTTAAAATTAAATCTAAAATACTATTAGTTGTCAAATGCACATTATCTTATGTGCCACAAAGAAAGAAAACAAAAATATTCTCCTTAAATTCTGACATACCATTGATTATAAGATGCATCCTCATTTCACATGTTGAAATGTAAAAAAAAAAAAATGTGCATCTTAGAATCAATGTAGTAAAGAGTTAAATCATATAAATATGGTTAGTGGCCAGTATTGAATTGATTTACTATATTTTTGCATATAACATACTGACAAATAACAAATGCATGTGAAACACATAGGACATGTAGGAAACCTAATGTTCAAGGGGGTTGTGCAGTTTGCTAAAAACATATAATACACATGCTATTTGAGTAAAAATACAGTAAGTATACAAGTAATATATAAAAACTGTAGGACGGTTTCAGAGCTGAAAATAAATGTAATACACTTGGACAGGGAATAATAATAAATCAAGCAGGACATAGTGTAGGGACAATGAGAGCAAGTCCAATGTCCTTGCATTTCACAGCAGGGAGTGATAGCAGTGCTAAAATTGAAACATAGCTTAAAAACATGACTCTAATCTGTTAATTTATTGTTGCTGATATCTATTCTTAACCTTAGAAACATCTTTTAGAAAATAGTATTTCTTGTGGTAGGGAAGCATTTATGTTTAAAGTTCAGTCATTCCAGTTCACATCAGTTCTGTTTTATTTTGCTAAATTCAAGAAAAAGTAAAGTTTATACTTTTTATTTAAAAACAGTATAATCCTATTTTTATAGAAATATTGTTATCAGTCTTACGTTAATGAAGGTTGTTTCTGGATGATAGGGATAACTGAAACTTTCATCTTTGTATTTTCTTTATTGCTTGAATTATTTATAATGTTTATTGATTTATTTCATTGATGATTTTTCTTTAAAAAAATGGATTAGAAGTAAATATGCTATTGTGTTAACAGTAGTTAGTTCTAATACAGGTGGTTGTCATTTTCCTTTTTGTTCTTTATTTTTAAATTTCTATGAACAAATTATTTTTGCTCAAATGGCGATCACAAGAAAATTAAGCAGACATCATTAACAATAGACATTTTTGTTATTCCACTGCCTGATTCCCAAGCATGTTGTTGTTATGTGCCTTTGAGTCGGACCCGACTCATAGCAACCCCTCCTTGGGTTTCCGAGGCAGTATCACTACAGAAGTAGATTGCCCCATCTTCTTTCCAATGAGTGGCTGGTGGGTTTGAACCGCCAGCCTTCTGATTAGCAGTCAAGTGCCTTAGGCACTACGCTACCAGAGCTTCTGATTCCCAAGCATAACCAATTGTAATTAAAATGTCATTTACTCAATGAAATAAAATTTTTTGTTTTTCCTGATCTTACTCCTACTTGTCCCAAGTCAATTTTTCTTAATACCATTTATTGGTTAAGGAATGTGGACCTAAATACTCTGAAGTGAAGGTGAGTGAGGGCACTTATTCCCAAGGGTTTCAGTGTTCTTAAAATAAGGAGGCAGGATCACCTATCAGATTGCTGACTCTTGTTGTAAAGATTATCTGGAATCAAGGATAAGCACTGAGAAAGAAAGGCTCTTCTAAATTGCACATATATACCCTTTTGAAAGTCAAAAATAATATAAATGATATTAATGTGAATGCAGAAACCATGACCAAGTTTGGGAGTGTTTCCATTTGAACATTTCAGGGTACAAGTCAGAGACAGAGAAGTCAAAGTTAACATCTTCGATATGGCTGGACATCCCTTCTTCTATGAGGTAAGAAAACCTATATCCAGTATTTCAGTGGATTTGGGGAAAGATCCTGAGTTATCTGAAACAACCAATACTCATATCATGTGTAAAATTAAGTAAATTTAGCGGTATTCTTGGTTTGCCTTCTAAACTTTAACTTAATGGATGCTTATTGATTTTTTGTTATTCCCTTATATAAGGTTAGGAAATTTTATTGCTGATGTATCAAATAGTTGACATTTTAACTTTAAAAAGATAATTGCTTTTTACTTCATACCTTAGCCCAAAGTGTGCCTGGATAATTATGTTCATACTTGGATTGAAGAGCTGTATGTGACTTCTTTCATACTAGGGTACTAGTTTGATCTTTCCTGTTGACTGCTTGATTACATGAGTTCTGTCCCCAGAAGAAACCAAAGCAACCTCATTTGATTTTCTTTCATCTGGTTATCAGTCCTGAATTGTCCCAAAATGAATCTCATGACCATTTTCTTCTGTTTTTCCTTCATTGAGAAGGAGGCTCTTCACTCTTCCTAGTTTGGCCACTTCACCATTTATCTAATTTGAACTCTGACAGATGCATTTTATTTTTCCTTCAATGGACGAACATTTCAGAGTTCTTTTTCCCTTTTTGAAGAAAACCTGGAATGTACGGAAAAGCAGAGAAGAAAACAAAATCACCCATTATCTCATAATTACCCCTTATCTCATAATTTCAGTGGTAAAAACATTCAAGCATATTTTCATTAGTTTTTTCTTTGTGAATCCACCGTATAAATTTGGGGTTTCTTTTACATAAACAAGATCATACTGACTATGCAACTGTATATTCTGCTTTTTTTTTTAAGTAAATATTTTGTATACTTTATGTCATTAAAGTTTTTTCATAAATATAACCTTTCATAAATTAAACTTTTTATTTTGAGATAATTGTAGATTCACAGGCAGTTTTCAAAAATAATACAGAGAGATCCCTTGTACCCTTTACTCAGTTTCGACCATTGGTAGCATCCTAGCATCACAACCAGGATATTGACATTGATACTGTCAAAATACAAAACCTGTCCATTACCACAGGATCATCCCTTACGTTGTTCTTTTATAGCTACACCCATTTCTCTCCCATCTCTACCCTCTCCTTGACCCTCGGCAACTGCTAATCTGTTCTCCATTTATTTAATTTTGTCATTTCAAGAATGTTGTATAAATAGAACCATACAATGTAGAACCTTTTGGGATTGGCTTCCCCACCCCCCTCCACTGAGCATACTTCTCTGGAGATTCATTCAGCTTTTTGTGTGTATCAGTAGTTGTTTTTCCCTTTTTGTTGTTGAGTAATATTTCATGACATACAGAGGTACCACGGTTTGTTTAACCATTCACCCATTGAAGGGCATCTGAGTTGTTCCCCATTTTTGGTTATTATAATTTAAGTCCATGATTTCATTTTGAGTTAAAAGTTGTATAAGGTATGATCCTTAAGGTTGAGTTTCATTTTTTTGCTTCTGGATGTTTGATTGCTCCAGCCTCATGTCTTAGATGAACAGTCTTTCCTCCATCAAATTACTTTTGAATCTTTGTCAAACATCAGTTAGGCATATTTATATGGGTCTATTTCTGGGTTTTCTTTTCTGTTCCTTTTATATATATGTCTGTCTTTGTACCAGTATCACAGTTTTCATTACTGAAGTGTTCAAGTCAAGTCTTGAAATCAGGCACATTGTCAGACTGATTCCTCCCACTGTACTCTTCTTTTTCCAAATTATTTTAGCTATTTTAGTTCCTTTACCTGTCCAGGTAAATTTTAGAATATTCTTACCTATCTCTACAAAGAGTCTTGCTGAGATTTTGATAGGAATTGTGCTAAACCTGTGTGCCAGTTTTGGGGAACTGAACATCTTTACAATGATAGGTCTTACATTCCATGAACATGATGTATTTCTCTACTTATGTAGGTCTTTGATTCCATCGGGGTTGTGTAGTTTTCAGCATACAAGTCCTATCCATGTTTTGATAGATTTACACTTAAGAATTTCACTTTTTTTTTCTTTTGAGCATTTGTAAATCATACAATAATTTTAAATTTTAGTGCCCTAGTATTTCTTTCCTTTATTTATGAACATTAGTTAGTCAAGAACCACATACTGTGGATATAAAGATGAATGAGACAAAACCCTAGGCTTTGCCAGCTGAGGCAGACACATAAACAGATCATCATAAAGCAGCATGCTTTTTTCTTTTATTCTTGTAAAATATAGATAACACAATATTTTCCAATTCAACATTTTTCACATGTACAATTCCATGAAATCAGTGACATCAATTACGTTGTGCAACCTTCGCTAATATCCTTTGCTAAATTTTCCATGAAGGAACCTTGGTGGTGCAGTGGTTAAGTGCTTAGCTGCTAACCAAAAGGTCTACAATTCGAGCACAGCAGCTGCTGCATGGAAGAAAGATGTGACAGTCTGTTTCCATAAAGATTTATAGCCTTGGAAATCCTGTGGGTCAGTTCTTGTCCTGTGAAGTTGCTGTGAGTCTGAATTGACGGAAGGCAGTGAGTGAGTAAGTGTTCATTTTAGGGAACCCTTGTGATGCAGTGGTTAAGGTGCTCAGCTGCAACTGAAAGATAGCAGTTCAAACCCACCAGCCACTCCACAGGAGAAAGATGTGGGAGTCTGATTCCATAAGGATTTACAGCCTTGGAAACCCTACAGGACAGTTCTGTTCTGTCTTTACAGGTCACTTGAGTCACAATCAACTCAATAGCAGTGGATAGTGTTAATTTTTAGTATGTAGCAATTCAGTTGGCTTTTGTATGTTCAAATTCTTTCTTATAGCCCTCTAAACTCATATATTACCTTTTTTGTGGATTGAGTTATGTCCCCCGCAAAGTATATGTTGTAAACCCTAACCTCTGTGTCTGTTCTTATAATCCCATTTGGGAATGGTTTGTCTTTGTTATATTAATAAGACAGGATTAGTCTAGGGTGTATCTTGAGGCAATCTCTTAAAATATAAAAGAGATTAAACAAGCAAACAAGGAGTGGGGGGAGGGAGGGAAAATCCCAAGCCACGTGAAGATCGCCCAGGAGCAGAAGTTCAAAGAGATGAGGACTTTCCTCCAGAGCTGACACAGGAAGCCTTAGCCTAGAGCTGGCACCTAAAATTTGGACTACTAGCCTCCTAAACTATGAAAAATTCAATTTCTGTTGAAGCCACCCACTTGTATTTCTGTTAGAACAGCACTGAATTACTAAAATAAATTCTATCTTAGTAGAAAGCCCCCCTTTTTTTTTTAATTCTTTGGGATTTTCTGTGTAGCCAGTTACGACATCAGGGGTCCCTGGGTGGTGTAAATGATTAGCAGGTACCTTAGAAGAAAGGCCAGATGATCTACTTCTGAAAGACCACAACCATTGAAGATTCTGTGATGCACAGTTCTACTCTGAAACACATAGGGTTTCTGTGAGTTGGAATCAACTCAACAGCAACTGGCTTGGTACTAGTTAATTGTGTCATCAGAAATTGACATTTTTTTATTTCTTCCTTTTTCATCAGTATGTGTGTTGTTGTTGTTGTTGTTGTTGTTATGTTCCGTCGAGTCGGCCCTGACTCATAGCGACCCCTCCTTGGGTTTCCGAGGAGTGGCTGGTGGGTTTGAACCGCCAGCCTTCTGGTTAGCAGTCAAGTGCTTTAGCCACTATGCTACCAGAGCTCCCATGTGTTTTATTTTTTGTTATTATACTCATTAGAACTTCTAGTACTATTTTAAATAATAATGGTGAGAGTAGACATCCTTGCCTTATTCCCAGTCTTAGGGGAAAATGGGTAATGTATAATGTTTGTCGTTGTTCTGTGCTGTCACGTCATCTCTGACTCATACCAACCCTATGCACAACAGAACAAAACACTGCCTGGTCCTGCATCAGCCTCACAATTGATACTATACCTGAGCCCATCATGCAGCCACCATATCAGTCCATCTTGTCAAGGGCCTTTCCCTGTTTTGTCAACCCTCTATTTTACCAAGCATGACATCCTTATCCAGACAATGGTCCCTTCTGACAACAGGTACAATGTTAGCTGTAGGGGGTTTTTTTGTGTGTATGTGATTTGGGTGAAAATTTACAGAGCAAATTCACCTTCCATACAGCAGTTCGCATACACTTTGTCTCATGACATTGACCACAGTTCACCACAATGCAACAGCTCCCATCCCACTTCCTCCTGACAGTTACCTCTTCCCTGTGTCAGTGCCTCCATGCACCCCTGCCCCCTGAGTTGTCTCCCTATGCATAAACAGCCTTTCTATCTCCCACAATTGTTCTCTCCAAGGAGTGTATATGTCTCAGGTAAATGTTCAACTCCTGTGCCTGTCTTTTGTTTGGCTGGAAGCAGAGGTGTGGGTTCAATTCCAGACCTGAACAGCAGCTAGGGGCCATAGTCTCAGTGGTTCCACCAGGCTCTTATCAAGCCAGCAAACCTGGCCCCCCCACTTTTATTTTTTCCAAATGATTTTGAATTTTGTTCCACATTTTCTCCCTCTCTATCCAGTATCTCCTACATAGATCCCAGTCCGAGTGGTTGACAGTGGTAGCCAGGCACCATCTAGTTCTTCTGGTGTCATAGTTGTATAGGCTGCAGATCACATGGTGTACCAGTCACTAGGACTAATTGTTTCCATTAATTTTGGTTCTCTTCATTCTTCTTTGCTCTGGATGAGAACAGACCCATCGTTGCATCTAGGTGGCTGCTTTCAAGCTTTTACGATCCCAGTCACCACTTGCCAAAGTAGAAGGTGGAACAATGTTTTGTGTAGTATGTTATGCCAATTGAACTTGATGTCCCCTGTGACTATGGTCCCGAGCCCACAGGTTCAACTGCTCACTCCCTCTAGGTAGCTGGCTGTGACCAAGAAGTGACCACAACCTTGCCCCTTGTCAGCTCTACTATACACCTGGGAATTCAGATCATTCAGATACACTTATAGGACCATTGTCTGCCAAACCTGTACATGGTCT